TTGGGAGGGGGTCTCTCTGACGGAAGATACCCTCCGGGGATCTTTCAGTCTCAGCCTTTAGTTGAAAAGTCGTAAGAATAAAAACTGACTTTCTCAGTAAAGACAACATTTTGCTCTGTGCCTATAGTCTCAGCATGTCTGAGTTTCTGCTTGGAGCCGGAGGCTCTACAGATTTTGGACTTGTCAGTCAAATAAGGACATGGATCAAATCTTTAAAATAAACCTGCTAAGGGAGAAAGCAGGCAGACATGGTACACATGTGTAATCTGCCCATCTGGGGGAGGGGCTAAGGCATAAGGAATATAAGTATTAAGCGAACCTGGGCTATAATATCTCAAAATAAATGTGATACATATTTTCAGATAAGTATATATATATGTAGCTAGAATGTATTTTAGTCAGTAATTTGTTGTTTTAACAAAATACTCAGGATAAACAGTTTGTAAGGAGGGGGAGTTTATTCTTGCTCATGGTGTCAGGATGTAGTCAGCTGGTCCCTTTGGCCTGTGGTAAAGCAGAGCATCATGGTGGGAAGCCCAGGAGAGGGTCAGGCTGCTAAGCCCATGGTGGCTTGGGTGCTTTGGGAAGGACTAGAGTTCCAATACTTGCTTCAAGGGCACCACCTCCCAGGACCTTATTTCCATTTGACAGCCCACGTGCTCAGTTTCCATCACCTCCAAACAGCATGAACACGTGAGCTTTGGGGAGGGGACATTTCACATCCAACCCCAGACTAAAAATCAAATTATTGTATTATCTATACTAGCTATATTATACCCTCCTGGATATACAAGAGAATAAATGTCACCACGTAACTGAGCTTCTTGCACACTCATGTTTATTGCAGCATCAAGTACAATAGCCAAGTGATGGACTCTGCCCAGGAGCCAGCCAGTAGATGAATAAATGGATAAAATATATGTATTTGTGTACAGTGAAATATTAGTCATCCACCAAGAATGCTGTTTACAGAAAAATGTGTGGAACCTGAGGTCATCGTGTTAAATGAAATGAGCCAGGCTCAAAACAACATATATGGCATGTTTGCTCTTTTATGATGAGCCTAAGTAGGTGACAGTATGAAAACAGACAAGTTTATTAAGAAAGAGTAAAATACTATCAGGTGGAGGGATTTTTAAAAAGCCAATTACGAAGTTGTTTCTTAGAGGAATTTAAAAATAATCAGTTTTGGTTTGCTATATTATGACTCTTTGTGGCTTATGCTGATTGAAGGGCAAACGATTTAAGATAGGATTTAATCAAAAGTGATGTTGTGACACTACTTGTTACGTGGAAAAAACAAGAGGCCACTGAGCACAGGAGGCTGTGAATGGGTCTGGAGGGCTGGTGGTTAAGAGCGCTTGAAAAGCAGTGGCCAGCACTCAAGTTTGAGATCCCTTGTATACACCTTAAACTCTCCAAGGGCGGTTCAGGAGAGGATCAGTAGCTTCCAGTTTAGCCAAGGGAATCGTCAGCTGAAAAGCGAGAGGACACCCGACGCCCTCTTCCGTCCTCCACGAGCACTCGCGCACACACCAGGTTTGTTTCAGAGAAAAAGTCTGGGCCGAGATGGGACTACTGTCGCAATCCGTACTTGGTAGGTGCTGCCGGATCCGTTAACTCGGTTCCCAGGAGTTGGGGCCGGCCTTTTGGCCAATCAGGAACGCCGTTACTCCTCGGAGCTAGCCAATGAGGAGCACGGACAGTGGGGGGTGCCGCTCTTGCCGCCATATTTGAGTTCCGGGTAGCCGGAGCGGCGAGAGTTGGGCTGGCGCTTGCCGAGTTTCTGTTCGGCTCGCGGAGGACGCCCGGATGCACCAGAAGCAGGAAATGGTGAGCGTGCCCGGGCCCCTTGGAGTCGCGGGGCGGCGGGGACGTGCGGCGGCTTCGCTGCGCTTGTGGCGCCGGCCCCGACGTCCTCTCGCCGCGGTGCAGCGGGTCTGAGGCGGAGGCTGGCGGTGGCGCCCTCCTCCCCGGGCGTTTGAATTGTGTGCTCTGCGGCACCGGCGTCCAGGCCAATTCTGCCCTTTCCCCCTGAAGCCGCTTCATTCCCAGCCCCTAGTCCTCCCAGGGAGAGGCTGCGCCGCGAACCTGCACCCCCGCAGACGTGTCGCTCTGCGGATGCCGAGTCCCGACTGCGGCGAGGACACGTGGGTGGTGTGCACTGTTTTGCACTTCTACATTTTCCATGTTCCCTGCTTTGGTTTTACTCTGATCACGCTGGAACCTCTTTTGTTGTTTGGTTTGTTTGTTTTCCTCCTCTAACCATCAACTTTTTAAAAAAGACTAGGGCTCGAACCTCAGGTCTCAAGCTGGGCGAACGTTATCTCCATCTCTCGTCCTGGGTTTGTTTTATGCGAATACAGCTGGGTTTGTTAGCTGTGACTAGCGCTGGGAGGGCAAGTTCCCTAACTTTGAGAAAGGAGAGAAATTTAAATTTACTTTAGAGTTTATTTTGTTTATACTGATCAGTTAAGCTGATCATTTTTGAGACAAAGTAAGAGATTTTGGAAAGCTTTTCCAGCCTTGAGAGGGGTGGAAAAACCCAGGGAGGAGAGGGATTATGCGATTCTTTTTTCTTTTTTATACAGGGTTTCACTACAGTGCTGGGTGGTCTGGATCTGGCTTTGTAGACCAAGCTAGGCTGGAACGAGATGCTCCAGTGCTGGGATTACAGGTTATTAGCCCCTCCCTGGCACTGTATATAATTTTATTTCTGTTGTTTAGCTAGCTCTAGGCTACTTCTTCAAGTGTGGAGTGAGCGAGAGGGATTTCTTGAATCCCATTGGAGGTGGAGACAGGCCTATCTAAGAGTTCATGGCCAGCCAGGACTACACAGTGAGACCCTGTTTCATATAATCAAAACAAACAAGTAACAAAAGCCAACCAGAACTCTTACCAGAATTATAGTCCTTGGGAAAAAAATAATAATATATTCAGTTCCTTTCTGTTGCCTTTAGGTAGTTGTTAGTCTTTCTGGATAGTGTAAATTCTTTGTTGTTATTTTTTAGATGAAAAACATTTTATGTATGTGTATAAATATGTTTGCGTCAGTGTATGCTGCCTGTGTGTGGGCACCTGCTGAGGCCAGACGAAGGTATGGGTCCCCTGGAACTGGAGGCACAGCCAGTTGTCAGTAGCTCTTGTGGATGCTGGGAACTGAAGTTGGGACCCCTGGAAGGACATGTGCCCTTAACTGCAAAGCCCTCTCTCCAACTCTGGACAGTGTGGTTTCTGACCATTGAGGAAATCTGGCTTGGTTAGTCTGGGCAAGAAAACCACTTTTGTTTTCTACCTGCTAGAGAAAATATTTTGAAAGTTGATTTTAGTGTTTAGAGTGTTTTTGGTTTTCCAGTTAAATTCTGATGTAGCCTACACTCTCCTGGAACTTCTGGTCTTCCTGCCTTCACCTCCCAAGTGCTGCGACTACAGGAGTGTACCAACCAACTAGCTGTTAGGCAACGGTTGGAACCTAGGGCTTTGTAGATACTAGGCAAGCCCTCTACTGAATGAGCTGCTTCCTCAGCCTTGCAGCACCATCTTAAGAGTTGGCCTTTTTCTCAGTTTCTGACAGGGAGATCCTAAAATATGAGCAGACAGGAGGCAGCTGTGTGGGGAGTTACTACTCACAGGATTACTAAAGGCCAAGCCAGTCACCAGCTCTCATTAACTGTCCCTCAGCTTGAGCTCATCTATGGGTTTGAATGTGAAATATCCCCCCATGGCTTCATGTGCTTGCTCATTTAGTTTCCAGAAAGTAGTGCTGTTTGCTAGGCTCTGGACCCTGTGGGAAGCAGAGCTAGTAGGGAAGAGAACAAACGGTCAGAGTAGCCAGGCTGTGACGTTCTGTAGCACGGCCTCAGGTTGTATGGCCTGGGCTTCTGTCCTCCCCTGCTTCCTGACGAAGACGTAGTGAGCCCCATCACAAGCTGGTACTGTCATGCTTTGCCCTTGATGAAGCCTACATCTCTCTCTCTTTTTTTTTTTTTTTTTTTTAATGTGAGCCAAAAGAAATTCTTTTTAAAAAATAAAATTATTTTATTTACTATATGCCACAGTGCCCTTGTGGGGATTAAACAATTTGCAGGAGTCAGTTCTGTGCTTCTACAGCATGGGATTCTGGGATCAGATTCAGATCATTAGCCTTGTGTTAAAGTATCTTTACCCACTGAACCATCTTGTTAGCTCTCTTCTTTAAGTGCTTTTGCCAGCTGTTTTGTTACAATGATGAGAAGAGTAATAAAACTGGTATTGAACAATGTTCGGTTACCATAATAAACTTGACCATGTGGTTCTTAGGCTTTGGAGCTGGTTTGTTGGAGGAATGTTTTGTGTTTTTTTTTTTCCCTCTAGTGCTGTGTAAACAAATGACTAGTCTCCCAAGATGGAGTACCAACCACCGACCAAAGAAATGATTCCACTTGGAATCATTTAGTAAATTAGTTTACAAAGGTTACTTACAGGAGGATGGGAAATTGCTTACCAACAAGAGTATGGATAACTCAGCAGCAGCAAAAACAGCAAAAAGCCTATCCTAGTCTGGAAATGACTCATGAAATCTATATTCCTGTAGCTTCCTGCAAAACATTCAGAAAATTACTGGTTGGAGAGTCTCAGCTTGCCAATAATTGTTTCTGCTTATGGGATGTCTTTGGGGAGGAGTATTAATGATCTTGTAAGTTTTAGGAGCTTCCTGAAATGTGTAAGCTTCTCTCTTCTCTGCTGGAGACATTGTTTTAAATAGGAAATAGCTGTCCAACAAACATGGAAGAATTTGATACTGGTTAGCGGAGCCCTAAAATGCTTGCTTCCAGTGGGAGTTTAGGATGCTAGAATGCCAAGGAAAATGGGGACACTAAGAGACCGAGTTCATAAGGTTTCAGAGGGGGAACAAGGCCTCTATTAGAATGTGTGCTCATGGCTATTCATGTGTCTGGTTAAAAAAAATGTAGCTATATTTCTGTGATAAATTGAGTGGGAGCTGAATTTAAAGCATAAGCCAATTTGTGTAGTGAAGGAAATTTGAAGACAGGATATTATTTGGGTTGCCATTTTCTACTCTTAGTTATATATTGGGTCAAGGCGGTGCTGTCTTTTTGGACTGGGTATGCTTCCTTTCTGTTGTATGTAGCAGTTTGAACAGCATTGGCGTTAGGTGTTTTTTAAAGCTTTTGTAGAACTGGGCAGTGACTCTGCAGTATTGGACATGTCTTTCAGGCATGTATTGTAGCTGCTTCAGTCTCGCTGCTTGTCGATGTGTTTCATTGTTATTTTCTTGATATGTCATTTGTGCTTGAGAAGTTGTTCTTCTCTTGTGTTTCTATATGATTGGAGAATATAAAGGAAGTACTCATTGGCGTACAATAAAAACGTTTCCATACCCAAATTTATGATCTCACTTAGAATACCAAGTCCTATTCAGAAAATAATTTACTTTGATTTTTTGAAAAAAAGAATACAAATACTTAATGTATTTTAGTTATTTTCATATGCCACATAATTCATTTCTTTTTCTTCTAAAGCCTTTCGTCCTAACAGATCCACCTGTTTGTTTATGACCTGCTGAATTTAGTTAGGATTGCTTGAATGAACATGGGTGGATTTTTATATTTTGTTTTTGAGATAGGGTCTCATGTAGCTCTAATTGATCTGGAACTTGAGAGTTCTGCCTGCCCTTGCCTCCACATTCTGGGATTAAAGACGTGTGCCACCAGCTGTTGGTGTGTTTTAACTGCAGCGTCGGCAACTATAGCATTGAACAAAACAATTTCTTTCTAAGCAACCTTACCAGCCAGCATCTCCGCAGAAAGGGTGGACCCTCAAGGCCCCTCCCCCATGGAATGTCTTGTGCAAGTAGCCACAGCCTCTGTGAATTCAGGAGTACAATGCCAAAAGGCATTTCACATTTCTCCTTGATGTCCCATTTAGGCCTAAACACTCAACATTCATTTGTTCTCAGCGCTGTGACCAGTTGAATGGTCTCTGCATTAACTGTTAGCTACTGCAAATAAATACATGTTTCCTCACTAAGACTGAAAGCAGTACATATCTGTGGATATGTTTATAAATAGAGAACAGTTTTGCCAGCGTGTTGCTTTAGAAAAGCAACAGGAGCTGGTTCCCCCTTAGGGTCTGTAACCTCCCTGGCAGTGGACATCTGATAGGTTTAGAATACCAAGCATGTATCCCCTCTCCCCCAACCACTGGGGAGAATCCCTTAAATCCAACCAGAAAGCAGTTGGTTTCCTTTTATCTTCATTAGATTCTAGTGCTGTTATAAAACAACATTACCAAAAGCAACATGGGGAGGAATTTTTTTTTTTTTTTTTAATACGTTCAGTCAGTCATTGAAGGAAGTTAGGGCAAGAACCTGGAGGCAGGAAAGGAAACAGAGGCCATAGAGGAATGCTTGTTCTCTGTGACACAACCTGCTTACTTGCTTGTCTTTCTTTCCTTCCTTCCTTCCTTCCTTCCTTCCTTCCTTCCTTCCTTCCTTCCTTCCTTCCTTCCTTCCTTCCTGTTTATTTACTTTGCATGCCAAGGGTGCCCCCTCCCACTTCTCTTCCCAGTCCTCTCTTTCCTTCTTTTCCCCTTCCCCTCTCCCTTTCCTCCCAGAAAAGAGAAGCCCCCCCCCACCCCATATCAACCCTCCCCAGCATGTCAAGTCACATCTGGACTGATGAACCTGCTTTCTTATATCTTCACGATACCAGCCTAGGGTAGCACCTCCTGCAGTGAGTTGGGCTGTCCCACATCCATCATCAGTGAAGAACAGGCAACACAGGGTTCCCCGCAGGCCAGTCACAGTCCCACCTGATTGTAGCTTTTGTCACGTTGATATCAAACTGGGCAGCACAGCTCGGGACCCTTCATGCTGCTGGTGCACTTTTGTGGCACATGTCGCCTGGCAGGTCGGTGTTATAGCTTACCGGGTTTGCCGCCGGTCACATCATTGACAGACTTTCTTCCTCAGCATAGAGGAAGCTTCCAGCTAGTTCAGCTTCAGGGTTTTGCTGTTGTTGTTTCTCCTGTGTCTTGATTTTTTAGTCTCGTTTCTTACACTGCTTCCCCACTCATAGCCATCTCATACAACCGCCTAGCTGGATTTCAGTGAATGAAATGATAAATTATGATGTATATGTTTATTAAATCGTGTATGTAAACGTTAGATCTTGTGATCTGTGTATATATCTGTATACAGATACACACATATAAATACTATGGTAAATTGTACTATAAAGAAGAAAGGTACTGGGGGCTGAGGAGATGGCTAAAGGTTAAGAGCACTTACTGCACTTCTAGAGGACTCACATTTGCCCTGCACCTCACCACCTGTAACATCAGCTCGGGGGTGGGGGGTGCACTCAGTATGCTAACACATAAGTACATTTTAAAAGGAATCTCTCCAGGGCTGGAGCGATGGCTCAGACGTTAAGAGCACTGCCTGCTCTTCCAGAGGTCCTGAGTTCAATTCCCAGCACCCACACGGTGGCGCCCAGCCATCTGTAGTGAGCCCTTGTGTACTCTTCTGGCCTGCAGGTGCATGTGCAGGCAGAGCATTGTGTACATAATAAATAAAATCTTTTAAAAAAGAAATATATCATGTTATTTTTAGTAAAATGTTTTGAACTCCAGCCCATCTTTATAACTAAGCCAGAGAGAGGAAGGACAAATAGAAGAATGCTTGTGGGAATAAAAGGGGCAAGACAGGCAGTGACTATTTGAAGAATAAAGCATAAAGTAAACTATCATGCATCTGTATATCTCCTATGTTTTCTCACTGTTCTTTCTGTTAATGTATCTGGCTTATTCTAGGAGCCTGTGACCTTTGAGGATGTGGCTGTGAACTTCACTCTAGGAGAATGGACTATGTTGGATTCCAGTCAAAAGAAGCTCTACAGAGATGTAATGAAGGAGACCTTTATGAACCTGATCTCCATAGGTAAAAACAAAACCACTAAGATTCCTTTACTTTAATCACAGCAGTTTCTTGCTCATCTGTGTAGTTGCATGGTTTTAAAAAGTGAAAGAATGGTGTTGTCCAGTGTCACATGCTTGGTCATATAACAGAAAAGTATAATTTTGAATAAGCTTTAAATAATTTCTTTGGGTTTGCTTTTAGGGAAAACAGAAGAAGAAGATGATGTTCAAGAAGAGTACCAAAATTCCAAGGGAAACCTGAGGTAAATTACCCTCAGAAAAAGATTTGCATCAAGTATTTGGTAGTGATAGGAAATCTGAGGACTTGAACTTGAGCACTTAGAACTATTAAAAGATCCTAGCCATATAAAGTTGTATGACATTTCCTAAGATTCATTATATAACTTCCCTTTATGCACCAAATTTCAAAATATTACTCAAGTCACACTTAGGCTTGAACATAAGGTATGTGTGAAGTCATGAGCCAACACCCACCCTGAGGTACTTCTTTTGACTAACCATAAAACTATAGTATTATTCTTTTTATTTTTTTGCAGGACACTGGTGGTTGAGAGACTCTGTAAATATGATTATGGTAGTCAGTACGGGAAAACCCACCAACAGAGTCCACAGCACATTGTGAATGAAAAAATGTCTCCTGCAATAACGGAGTGTGGAAGAGACATCATTGCTCATTTACCCTCAGGTACGCACATCAAACAGCAACCTGGAGAGAAGCCATTCCAGTATCAGGGACATATGGAGAAGGCGTTTAAACATAAGAAATGGAAGGATTTTACTTATTCTGAGTTGCTTCAGATGCATAAAAGCCCTCCTCTGAGACAGAAACCCTATGAATATCAGCAATCTGACGAAGCCTCTAGGAGTTTCACTTCCGATCACGATTATGAGGGAACTTACACTGAAGAGAAATCTTATGTTTGTAAACAATGTGGGAAAGCGTGGAGTGATTCCTGTAGCCTCCTCTGGCATGAAAGAAGTCATATTCAAGAGAAACGTCACACCTGTAAGCAGTGTGGAAAAGCATTTAGTCGTCCGTCACAGCTTCACAAACATGAAAGAATTCACACCGGTGAGAAACCTTACGTGTGTGCACATTGTGGAAAAGCCTTCATCGATCGCAGAACCTGTTACAATCATGAAAGAACTCACACTGGAGTAAAGCCCTATGCTTGTAAACAGTGTGGGAAGGCATTTCTTCGTTCCTGCCAGCTTCTCATCCATGAGAGAATTCACACTGGAGAGAGACCCTTTGTATGTAAGCATTGCGGAAAAGCTTTCACCTACTCCAGTGCCTGTTACTATCATGAACGAATTCACACTGGAGAGAAGCCCTGTGTGTGTAAGCAGTGTGGGAAGGCCTTTAAATGTTCCGCATACCTTCACATACATGAAAGATCTCACAGTGGAGAAAAACCCTATGTATGTAAGCATTGTGGAAAAGCCTTTGCTTATGCCACTGGATGTCACAAGCATGAAAGAATTCACACTGGAGAGAAACCATATATGTGTGTGCAGTGTGGGAAACTCTTCACTTTCCCCAGATCCCTTCACATACATGAAAGATCTCACAGTGGAGAAAAGCCCTATGTTTGTAAGCAGTGTGGGAAATCTTTCACTCAGGGAACTTCTTTGCGAAGGCATGAACGAATTCACACTGGAGAAAAACCTTACGTATGTAAGCAATGTGGGAAAGCTTTCATCCAACGTGATGATTGTTACAGTCATGAGCGAACTCACACAGGAGAGAAACCATACATGTGTGTTCAATGTGGGAAAACGTTCACTTTTTCCAAATCCCTTCAGATACATGAAAAAAATCACACTGGAGAGAAACCCTATATATGTAAGCAGTGTGGGAAAGCATTTACCTGTTCCACATACCTTCTCAGACATGAAAGAACTCACAGTGAAAAAAAACTCAGTGGATAATGTTTCTACCAGTGTAAATCATAGGAATGTCTGACGTCAACTTTTATTTTGAGGTATGAAAGAAGAAAAAGGAGAGACACTCGAAGATTATGAGAACAACAGATGTATAATTTTGGTCCTCGTATGCAGATTTCCCTCAGACGACTTTGTGTATCAGGTGTGCTGGTGCGTGCCTTTCATTCCAGCAGTGAGAAACTAAGGGCTAGGCAGTTACAGTATTTAATGAAGCCTGTGCTGTTTCCTGGGTTTGAACACAGCTTGGGAGGTTTACAAACCAATTCCAACTAAATGAAATTGTCTGTAAATATAAGAAAGGTGTCTTTTTACCAATAAGATAGAATTTATGAAGTGATCTCATGTGGTTGAGTCCTGTAAAAGAATTGTGAAGATATTGAAAGTTAACTTGTATGGAATATTTCTGAAAATAAACCATGTGAAAGAGATACAGTTAGTTCTTAGTATTTTTTAACGTGATTATTTAAATTATGTATGTTCTGTTTTGCTGAGTTTATACTGGTAGTGTGCTTTATAACAATATATCAAAGGAACTTAGCAAAAAAACAAAAGCATTAGTCTAATTCTCAGTACTGCCTGTATATTTGCATAATTTTCCCTTATTACATGAAATTAGTAATACTAATTTGGAAAAATTAGGCCACAGTGAATTCCTGTGAGCAAAGTTGGCTGGCATAATCTGCCCATGGGTCAGTAAACATCAGCTTTAATAGAAATGTTGTGCTTAGACTTCCCTAAGCCAGGCCCAGTGCACGGCTTAGTACCATTTGGGACAATCATTCTGCCCTATCCTGGGATCAATTTCATTTATCAATTGAACAAACATTCTTAACCTGAATGAGCAATGTAGTGTGTGTGTGTGTGTGTGTGTGTGTGTGTGTGTGTGTGTGTGTACGGGTATATTGCCTTCATGTGCGCCATGTTTGTTCAGTGCTTGTGGAGTCCAGAGAGCATGTTGGATTCCCCGGGAACTGGGGTTGCAGATGCTTGTGAGCTGTCATATAGGTGCAAAGACTCTCAACCCTCGTTCTCTGGAAGAGCAGCCGGGGCTTTTGACTGCTGAGCCATCTCTCCAGCCCCAAGCAAAGTTATTTTCAAATGTAATGTTGTGCCTTTACGGAGTAAGTGCTGGAAGTTGAACCTATGAAATGTGCTTGGAATAAAACAAGTCAATCTAATAACTGCAGAAGTGTTATTTTTAATAAATGGTCTATTCTAATATAACACATCTTAACTTTTCATCATTATTTTACTTTTTAAAATATGGCTGGCAAATAACTTTGGTGTGATTTTGCCCGTCTGTGATCCCTGCTGCTTTATGTAGAATGCTGAAGCGGGAGAATAGCTTATGCCATGATTAAAGACCAACAAGACTCGAAAACAGCATCAACAGGAAATTATAGTATAAAGAAACGGTTTGCACTGAGTAATATAAGTCTAAGGTTGGTAATGCACTTATATACAGACATCTATAAATATATAAACACATACAGATATACAGACATATCTATAAACAGATACTCTTTGTCATCGTTCATGTGAGTGGAAACACCTAAGCCCATTCATGTCAATTGCTTATAGTCTCTTTATCTCCTAAATGACTAGTAATGACAAATATGTTTACATTTTCCCATGTAAGGCTTAAAGGACGGAAACAGCACCACTGTTTCAATAAAGGTTAGGTTTTTCAGAAAACATGCATTTTATGGACTGGAGAGATAGCTTAGCAGGGGGCCAGAGTTGAGTTCCCAACTCTTTATCAGTCCACTCACAACTACATATAACTCCAGCTTTACACATTTGGCACCCCCTTCTGACCTCCTTGGGCATCTACATTAGTTGCACATACCCAGACACATACTCTAAAATGTCTAATATACATATTAAATACATATCTCTATAGTAGGTATTAAAGCATGCATTAGATTGTAGTTTTCAAGTATCCTGTACATGCCGTGTGGTAGATGAGGAAAACTCAGAAGTAAGCAGGCAAAACTGATTTTTTTGCTCTATGTTGTTACAAGGAGACTAATTGTTGCTGTGCTGCTGTTGAAAACTTGGTGAGAAAGTTGAGGGTGGTGAGTCCACACTGGGCAAATTTAGGAGATGAAAATGAAGCTATTGTTGAAAGTCAGCCCCGGTCCCCCTCTTTGGTTTATTTTCAAGACAGGGTTTCTCTGTGTAGCTCTGGAACTCATCTGTAGACCAGGCTGGCCTTGAGGTCAGATCATCTGCCTGCCTCTGCCTTCTGAGTGCTGGGATAACAGGTGTGCACCACCATTGCCTGGGTGAAAGTCAGCGTTAGAACATTTCTCCAATGTGGTTGACCTTGGCTTTGATACCCATTACTGTCAAACAAGTAAAAGATCAAAATATAGGTTAATGATTTATTCAACAAATAAGCTTCATTTTCACTTCATTTATCTTTTATCAAATATCTCTTATGAAAGGATAAGTAGATTTCAAAAAGGCAATGACAAATGATAACATGAAATATTTCATTTCTGGGAGGCTACTCAGAATTCTGCAGGCTTTTTGAAGCTTTATTATAATAAGTATAATACATTTGGTGAAGTAATTACTAAAAACTGGATCCAAGAAAGATTTGGCTCCCACGAGTAATCATTCTTTGAGATTGGTTTGAGGAAGGAGCTTCATTTTGGCCATTTAGTCCATTTAGCTTCATTTAGTCCATCCTTTGAGAATTCTTAATTTTAATTTGCCCATTGTATTGGGTTTCTTTATTTCCTCCTTTTTCTTTTGGTCTTTGTATATTTTACATACTAATTGTGTCATCACACGGTTAGCAGACATTTTCCTATTCTGTAGGCTATTTTTTTCACTCAGGTGTCCCTTGCTATGCTGCAGCTTTTTAAATTCCGGTCCTACCTGTCAATACTTGCCATTATTTACTGAATGCTGCAAGGACTCCAAATGTCCTTGCCTATGCTTATCTTGAAATGTTTTCTTTGCCCCCCCCCAAGCTGTTAAGAGTTTCAGGTTTTATATTAAAGGGTTTGATCCATTTAGAAATAATTGTTTAGCACAGAGAGGTTCTAATTTCATTCATTTTAAATGTGGATATCCAGTTAGGGGGCATTAGCTTCTCAGGTCCACTGTCCACTGTGTATTTACAGCGTCTTTGCCAAAGATTAGGTGGCTCTAGCCGCACAGGTTTCTATGGGTCCTGTCTTGCATGGAGACACACTTCTGTTTGTGACGTTTGTCACTGGCTCAGTGGTAAAACAGGAAATCAGGTGTGGAAACACCAGGAACATTGTTCTTTTTGCTCAGAACTGCTTGTTAACCATGTTATTTTATGCTTCCACATACACTTCAGGATTTTTGTTTTGTTTTCTGTGTAAAGAATGTTAATGAAGTTCATGCATATTGCATGGAACGAAAAAGTTTGCTTTTGGAATTACAGCCAGCTTTAATTATGCCAATCCATAACATGGGAGGTCTTTCCTTTTTGAAGTGTTGTCTTTAATTTGTTTGTCTTTACTGTTACACTTTACAGAATAACTGCCTCTCGTGTCCTTGTTTATGTGTATTCCATGAACTTTTGTTTGCTTTTCTGCATATATCTATTTTGAATGCAATTGCTTTTCTGATTTCTTTCATAGTGTGCTTGCTGTTAGAACGTCAGAAAGCCTCTGATTTTGTGTATGTGTTTATGTATGTATGTGTGTTTGTATATAGTGTTGTGTGAATGTGGGTGCGCATGTGGAGGTCAGTGAACAAATTTTAGGCGTTGTTCCTTGCCCTTTTGAGACACTGTCTCTTAAACATACCAGCTAGCTCTTGAACTTTGCTAGAGTCTTCTGTCTCTGTGTCATTTTCCAAAGTTACAAAAGGATTATAGACTCTTGAACTGTTATGCATTTATGGGGGTTCTGAGTCCTGGGATAATGAAACTCGGGTCATCTGGCTTTTACTGCAAGTGCTTTTATCCACAGAGTCATTTTCCCAGCCGTGCTTTTGATTTTTGTATTTTGCTTTTATATTCTAGGATGCAGAATTTTCTTTCTAAATCATTAACTTTTCTGATGCAATCTTCAGGGTCTCTTTTATTTGTTTGATTGATTGATTGTTTTTCAAGGCAGTGTGTAGGCATAAAGTTATTGTGTAACTCAAATGCTGATTTCTGTATCCCCCATATCTGGTTGTAGTCCTTGTTCTGAGAATCTGCTGTCTCAATGTTGTGTAAACCCTGCTCCCCAATTTCTCCCTGATATGCCAATAAAGCAGCTTACAGCCAATCGTTGAGCAGGGGAGAGAATACGGCTGGACTTCTTGCGAGCCAGTGGAGAAGTTAGAGGAGGAAGTAGGGGATTCAGCCACAGGAGATTTCCAAGAGAGACCAGAGAGAGAGCTGAGCAGAAAAGGTACAAAGTGCAAGTATCTCTGGATGTATGCTGGGAGGAAGACAAATTAGCTATTAGTTATTGTATTGTGAACTACTAAACAGATGTAAGCCTCTCAATTACTTGTGTTGTAGCCGGCTTAACAGAGAAACTGAGGGAAAAAAAGTTACATAAAAATAACTTTAACAAAGGGTTTCTGGCTGTCCTGGAACTTGCTCTGTACATGAGGCTGGCCTTGAGCTCACAGAGCTCCACCTGCCTCTGCCTCCTGAGTGCACCACCACTACCCAGCACAGTCGCCAGAGTTTTTCATTTAATATTATGTACAATTTAGGATATATTGACTTTTTCTTATTGTATTCATTTTGTTTCTTTCTCTTTTATTATTGGTCTCCCCAAGATGTCTTGCACTATGTTGAATTAATAGTGGAGAAAATGGACACCTTTGTCTTTTTCTTGACTTTAATGAAAATTCTGATTTTTTTTCTGATTTACTATAACGTTTGCTAATTGTTCTAATTATTTGCTAGTTGCTGCTTTTATTATATGAGAGATGTTCTACTTCTATTTTCTTTTCAATTTTAATCATGAAAAGATACTGGATTTTGGTAACCTTTTTCTGAAAGGAAAAAAGGAAAAACCTCTGCTTTCAATGATGTGATCTTATGATTTCTATATTTTATGCGATGTACTGCATTTTACTTATGAATGTTGAACATATATTCCTGGCATAAAGCTAACCTGATTGTGAATGATGGTTTTTGTTTGGCTGAATTATGTTTTCAGGTATCTTAAAGTTTTTGTATTTGCCTATAATTTGTATTTTGTATAATTTGTATTTTGTATTTGCCTATAATTTGCCTATAATATTTTGTATTTGCCTATAATTGTCTTTAAAAATATCAGCATTACTGTGTGTATATGTGTGTTCATTTGTATTATATGTTTCTGGGTGGACATGCATGACAAAGTACACTGTGGTGGCCACAGCTGATTCTCTTCTTCTTCCTTTATGTGGGCTCTGAATATTGAACTCAGGTCATCAGGCTTGTATAGCAAGTGCCTTTCCCTGCTGAACCATCTCGCTGGCTCCACTAGCTACTTTCTGTTAGAGTATGGAAGACATTTGGCTTTTCCTGTTTCTGTTGAGATATTCCTGGTATTAAAGACTGTGTCTTTATAAGTAACTTGATTTTCTCTTGAAACTTTCCATTATTAGTATTTTCCATACTAATGTTTTAAATATAATATGGTATGTGTAGGTTTTCCTTCATTTCAGATTTTATTCTAAATATTTTCTGAGTCAGACGAGTCATCTCTCCCTATATTTAGGAAATTTTCTGCCACAGTTTTATTGAATATATTACTTTTACCATTGCTTAAAGTTCTCCTATCGTCATGCTTCATAATTGTAATCTCTTTTGAGTGGGGACTGATTTTACGTGTTGTTTTCTTCACCAGTGTCTGAGGGTTTTCATTCATGTTTGTCTTCCAAAGTTGATACTACCTTCTTGAGCTGTATTATTTTTGTAGGTTTAAAATTTTTCCATAATTAGATTTGTTTATTTATTTGTGTTTATATATGGGTGTGATGAACATGTGGAAGTCAGTGAAATAAGATCTTTCCCTTTACCGTGTTGGTTCTAGGGTTCAAACTCACCTCATCAGGCCTAGTTAGGGATAAGTGCCTTTATACCCTGACTCCCTTGGTAGCCTGTGGCTTTTTACTGAGTTTTTGACTTAGCAACCTCTTCATTTATAAGATTTCAGTTTGATGTTCATAGTTTTTCTACAGCTATTGAATCTCTCATGTGTTATATGTAATTCCCAATTTTATTAGGATATGTTTCATTTTTTTATTCAGAATTTTATTTTTATCTATCTATCATTAGGCCTGGCTGCCCTGGAACTTGCTTTGTAAACCAGGCTGAGCTCAGAGATCCTCCTGCATCTGCTGCTGGGATTAAAGGCCTGCGTCACCATGTCAGGCTACTGTTAGGCATTCTTATTGTTGTCTTTTGGAATTCTTTGATTTCATCTGATTCACTCTCACTGAGATGCAGGGTCTCAGATTTGGAATTGTTCCGGGGGCTGGGGGGTCATTGTACCATCATCCCTTGTGTCTGTGCTTTGGGATTTCCCCATCTCAGGTTATCCGGTTGTTTGAATTATCCCACTGCCCTCACAACTGTCTTCTTTCTGGTGAAATTTTACAATTTTCAAAGGTTTATGGTAGGTTGGGTTTTGCTCATCCATGGACCGGGGTGTAGGTTAGTAGGTAAATACCGAGTCCATGTGCTAATGCCTTGAATTATGATCCTTAGTGCCACTTAGGGTTACTAAGGCTATAGAAAGTTATAGTTGAGAAATAATGGGTGTGAAGGAAGGAGGGAGAAAGTGAGACAGGAATAAGAGGGAGAGTATATGGTTTGTGTATAAGAAGAATAGTAGAAAGCATGTCGCTGAATGGTCATACAAACATACCAATGCTTAAAACTTAATTGAAAAATACTAAAATAAATGAAGACTGGTAAGAGATTTATGCAAGACTAAAGATTAAAAAAATCAATTCTAAGGCAGGCTTGATGGTACATGTCTTTAATCTCAGCCCTGGGAGGAAGGGGTAGGCAGGTCTCTGAATTTAAGGCCAGCCACGCCCACATGGTTTCAGGCTAGCCAAAGCTACTGTGTCTCAGAAAATCTAAACAAACAAGTATAACCAAAGTACAATTGGTTAAAATATATGTTTTATATATAAATCCTCCCTCCTTATTCCAGTTTCATGTGGAAATCCGTCATGGTGAGAGAAATGCTGTTCAGTGTTCCAGCTCAAACCTTTAGAACCAGTTTGTAGGTATGCAGTGTCTTATTGGAATTGAAACAATTTTTCCTTTGGATTGACCTTCTGTCTCCACTGTTCAGAGCTCAGCATTGTAATTCTAAGTTCCCACTGTGCCCAGGTAGTACACGACTCTCCGGGAGAGCCCTTTAGGCAGTTAGCTCCAGGTGTATTTGCCACACTTAAGCTTTTTTGTCCTGAACATACCCTGATCCCAAATATGTTCGTGAACTGCTTGGTTTCACCTCCAGGCCGCTTGTCGCTCCCTATCTAACTTCCTATGGTGCCATTGTCAGGAGGTGGGGAGAGCAATTACCTGGTAATTCTCACTGATCACGAAGAACAGCACTGGGAGACAGTCTGCTTCAGGCTCCAACGTCACCCAGTCACCTCTGTCTTCACAGCCTTCCCTGTTCCTGTGTCTCACAGTCTCACACAGGCACAGAGTGTGTTCAGGCCTCAGTGGCTGCTTGGTCTCCTGTTAGGTGATCCTGCGGCCCATGATTTTCATTTTGAAAAACAGTCCTGAGGTTAGTTTCTGTTCAGTACAGCCCAAATTGCATGGTGCATTCACTTGTGTCTTCTTTACAGACATTCAAATTATTGAATTTACATTCAGCTTTTCTTTCATTGGAGTAGGGCCTGTTGCTTATTCCTCTGATTATTTTCTTTCACTGAATTGCAATGGTGCAGCTTCTAATTCTCCATCTTACACAGAAGTCTTCAGCATCTCTCCATTATCACAATCTCAATGGGCCTTGATTGTGGGCTGTCCTACATTTTCCTGTATGTGCTTAAGCACTGTTCATGCTTATGTGATTAAATTTGTATCACCTGCCTCATTCAAGACGTTATACCACAATGTGTAATTAGGAATTGAAATATATAATTAGAAATATGGTAACTTGAAACTATGATGCTTCACCACACAGTCTTCAGTATTCTAGTTACAATGTTTAAACTGTACACTTCCATCTTATATTAATCACACTTTAAGTTCTTTTCATTTTATCACGAAAAGTAACAGGTTTTCTTATAATGTTTTCAGTTATTGTGACAGTTTCAGACATTGTGTTAAGACCTTTGACCCATTGAGGTTTGATGTGTGTGTGTGTGTATGTGCAAGGTGTGGGGCAAAGGTCTATAGTCAAAATTCCTTTTTTTTTTTTTTTTTTCTTCGAGATGGGGTTCCTCTGTGTAGCCTTGGCTGTTCTGGACTGGATAGACCAAGCTGGTTTCAAACTCACTGAGATCCACCTGCCTCTGCCACCCCAAGTACTAGGATTACAGGTGTTCGCTTAGAGTCATATTTTTATTTGTGAATATTGTTTTTTAAAGGTTTCATTTGTTTATATAATGTTTGAGCGTTCTGCCTGCATGTGCACCTGAACGCCAGAAGAAGGCACCAGATCACATTACAGATGGTTGTGAGCCACCATGTGGTTGCTGGGAATTGAACTCAGGACCTCTGGAAGGGCAGACAGTACTCTTACCCACTGAACCATCTCTCCAGCCCCATATTCGTGAATATTGTTAACAAAAGTTGCTAGAAAGAAGCTGGACCTTCCACCAGACCTTCTGCAAGGCAGATCAGCTGTGAAGAGTTCACTGGTTATAGAGAGTTGAGAATGCTACTAAGCCAGCATTAAGTTATCTTGGGTCCTCTTTGGCTCTCATAATAGTAATTTATTGTCCTCCTACTCTAACTGGCATCTTTGTGATCATTAGAAAAATCATGCGGAATGTGCAAACAGCACTGATTTCTAACCAACCAAGAAGCTAATAATGTTAGACAATTGTGAGGCACAAGTTCCTCCACTCTGTTAGCATACCTACCTAGTATTCCCACCCACGTATTGAAAAGCGCTTCAATGTGTGTGACTTTCTTTGTTTTTTGTCTATAAAAACTTCAAGAAACTCCCTTCATGTTAGAATGTGGACTTTGGTATGACCTAAATCTGTGCTGCCATGCTGTGGTCACTCACATTTGGCTCCAGAGTAAATTATTTCTTATCCTCTTTGAGATTAGAGTTGGTTTTTGTTAACGTTTTTATGAGACTCTGTGTAGTCCTGGCTGTCTCAGACACAACTGGCTCTGTAGATTATGCTGGGCTTCAAGTCACAGAGATCCTCCTGCCTCTGCCTCCCAAGGGCTGGAATTAAGTGCATCACCACTGCTGGGGTAGTCATTTTCCCAGATGCTTTGCGTTTGATGAGTAGTTTTTGCATCTTTGTCTAAAATATGGTGGCTATAGTTTCATGTTATTATGTTTGGGTCTTCTGCTGCATTGATCCACATACCTGTTTTATCCACCGTGCTGTTTTATTATGGTGACTTTCTAATATACCTTAAAAGCAGCTATGGTGATACTTCCTACACTATGCTTTGTCTTAAGGTTGCTTTTGCTATCTTTTGTGCTTCCAAATGATTTTTAAGATGGTTTTCAATTCCTGTGAAGAATCGCATCGGAGTTTTGATGTGAATGGCATTGAATCTAGATTTCCTTAAGGTAAGGAGCAGTTATCAGGGTAAACATCTGTCTGGGGAGTCATATATTATCGCCAGATGACATCACCACCAAACTTTGCCGTAGGTTATTTTAGGTTTTGTTCAGATAAGCTTCCGTGGCTCTGTCCCCCACTCCGCCCCCACGCCATGGCCAACTGCCACCTCGGCCGCCCCCAGAAGTCCACGCTTCTTTCACAGGAAAGCCCGAGTGCTGTCAGCTTCTAAATGGATGAAACTCTGCGTCTTGGGTTCTGCTTTCCTCGGGAACAACTGGAACACGTGGAGTGAGGTCTGTGCAACGAGACGTCCGACGTCACCTGGGATGTGGAAAACGGCTTTCCCCCGTGCACGGTGTTACAGTATCTCTTTAATGAGGTAGTCGGAACCAGACGGCAGCAGAACCTCAGGGTTCAGAAGCCGAGGTAACAGCGGAGGTGTGGGCAAATGCCCATGCCAAATGGTGACTGCTAGAATGCAGGTTCCGGGGCTGATAGAAGCCTGGCAGAGGCTTGCGGTGTGGAGAGGTCGGAGCTGACCGGGAAGAGCTGGGCAGGTGCCTCATGGTGGCCGGACACGGTCCTCGAACTGGAATGAACTGAGCAGCTGTCTCAGATTAAGGTGTGTCTGCTATGCCTGCGGCCGGCAGTCAAGCCTAGAGGTCCAACAGCGAACCCTTCAGGGAGGAGGGGATCCCTTCTTTCCCCCAGAATAAATGACGATCTTTGATAAAAATAGATGGTGTGTTTTATTTCCTGAACAGGGACATTATAAACCTGAGGCAGTGGGAAGGGGCTTGGGGATGAAGGTGTTTGATTGGCTGGTGTGAGCTGCTGGCGACAGTCTAATTACAGGGGGAAGGGTAAGAGGTTACAGCTTGTGTGAGCGACCACCCACCCTTGGGGGCTTTGTCACAAGCTCCTGAGGCAGGCATGGAAAACAAAGAGCTTCGTTCCACAACTTCCATCTTTAGGATGAGATTTTAAGTCTCAAATTTGAGAGTTTCAGGGTTTGATCACTAGGCATCTCTGTCCCATGCCAATTCCTCTGAAAGCACAGTCCACGAACTCCCTCTTAAAAATTCCACAGATATTCCCATAAACTTTGAATGTTAAACTCTGTTTCGCATTTGAGCTAGTGACATTTGAACCATTAATGAACAAGCGTCAAGACTGAGTACCTGCGCTTCAGATCTAGTTTAAGAATATGCAACTGTAGGCCAGCGATTCACTTTTGTAGTCCGTAAGTCAGCAATTTGTTAAATGATGATTGAGCAGCATCAACCATGCTGATGTCTTATTGCTTTACTAAATGGTTCCACACTAGCACCATCCAGGTCTGTAAAGGTCTAATGTTGTGAAGAATGAAGACCATGAAACTAAACCAACATTTTGAGAGTAGAGCGTCATGTCAAATTATGAAATGACTAACTCCTTTGATGGGCGACCCTTCCATTTGCATATGTATGTTGGATATTTTAGGCATCACTGGCCTTTGAAGGAGTGTTCTTTAGTTATGGTATGACAGTGTAGGTTTTGTTGGATCCTCCCAAAAGGACCTCTATAGAGACGTGAGGGTTTTTTTGGAATTAAGTCTCATTAGGTAAAAATGGCATGATTCATAGTCAGTCAGAGAAAAATAATTTATTGCTCATTGGTGTTATTGTATGGTTTAGAGCAAGGAAAGGAAATATTTGCGTGACTATGCCACACATGAGAATATTGTGCCAGTGACACAGTAAACAGTTGTTCATTTTTTGTAAAATTTAATAATTCATAATGAAATTTGTGGGTCTACATTTTAGGAAAAACACAGGATGATGAAAATATTGAAGGTGACCACAAGAATCTCTGGAGAAATCTAAGGTAAACTGCATTTAAATGAGAGTGAAGTTCACAGTGAACCTTCGATCAATCAGTATCCCACATACTGCCCAATATATAATTGGAAATTTTAAATGAGCAAACATTGAAGAGATGGAGTAACATGAAACCACAAGGAATTAGACCCAAGGGCTCTAATTTCTTAACTTCCTGCAGTAAAAAAAAGAAGAAAGAAAAAGAAACACCTTGAAGTGACTAGGATGGTGGCTCAGTAGTTCTCAGCAGTGCTGCTCTTGAAGAGGACCTGAGTTCTGTTTCCAGCACACATGCTGTGGCTTACAGCAGTCTGTAGCTCAGTCCCTGGGGCTCCAAGGCTCTCTTCTGGCATCCCTGAGTAACATGAAGACAAAACACTTATATACCTAAAACAAAACTTAAAATGACCTTTGAGATATATCAAACAAGCCATGGGGTATGGCTACAAGAACCAGTTCAGTAAAAATGGATTTTGATGTTAGAACTCATCTTCAAGATATCTTGTTGTTAATATGTAAGTATTCATAAATATACCAAGGTAGCATTTCCTAGCATTTCTCATTGGAGCAGCATTTTGCATGTGCAATGTCAGATAGAAATATTATTAAATGTGATTGAAATTTTTCATAATTGATAATAGCTGATGGTAGAGCTCAAAATGGCATTCCATCCATTCACATTACATATTCCTATTGGGTATAAAATTAACAGTTCTTATGGATAATTAATACGTAAAATCATACTAATGCACTATTCACTTTTTGCAGACCTCAAATAGAGTTTTTGTGAACACATTTAAAGTAGTCATTGTGAAGAAACCTTCCAGCAGTGACCAAAGCATACTGCGAACATGAAGACTTTGCCCTCTTTGGCATCTTGTATGTTAGGTAGGTTTCTATTGCGGTGATGCAGCACCATGACTGAAAACGACCTGGGGAGGAGGGGTTTACTCCCTTACACTTCTCTATCACAGGTATTCATGGAAGGCAGGCAGGGCAGGAATGTGGAGGCAGGAGCCGATGCAGAGGCCGTGCAGGAGTTTTCCTCACTGGCTTGCTCCTCATGGCTTTCTCAGCCTGCTTTCCTATAGCACCAGGACCACCAGGCCAGGGGTGGCACCGCCTACAATGGGCTGGATTCTCTTCCATCAATCACGAATTAAGAAATATTCTATAGGCTTGTCACAGCTCACTCTTACGTAGGTAACTTCTCTTTTTAAAATTTATTTTATTTATGAGTGCTCCTCTGCATGTACACCTGCATGCCAGAAGAGGACATCAGATCCCAGTATAGATGGTTGTGAGCCACCATGTGGGTGCTGAGAATTGAACTCAGGACCTCTGGAAGAGCAGAAAGTGCTCTTAACTCTCAACAGCCCCTAGAGGTAATTTCTCAATTGAGGCTCTCTCCTCTAAGATGATTACAGCTTGTGTCAATATGATATAAAACTAGCCAGCACACCATAGTATGTTCATTTGTTTGTAGATATACTCATTGACCACTCAACTCTATATTGCTTGGAGTTTACTACATCAAATGCCAGCATGAGAACAATGAATATATAGAAAATGCCTGTAAATGTAAGGAGTGTCAAAAATTTTTCATTCTTTCTAATGCTTTTAAAGCCAGAAAAAGGTCTCATACTGGAGAGAAAACTTATGAAAGTTAAACAAAGAAGTCAATAGGTGTCTCATATTTGATAAGAGTCATGAAATGTCTCACACTTAGGAACACACCATGAATATAAACAGTGTGGGAAAGCTTTCCAGAAATTCAGCTATGTTGAAATGAAGGAAATGCTCAAGAGAAACAGTTTGTCTATAACCACAGTGAGACAGCCTTTGCTCATTCTAGTTCCCTTAAAAATCGTAAAAGGAAGAGCCGGTCCTTTCCCCTGCCTGCATACCTATGAGCCTCCCCAGATGCTACACCTACTTAAGATCACGTGGAGTCCCAGTGGTGGTCAATGGCCTGACCACAGATAGCCACCCCAACTACTGCTAGGTCTCAATTCTGAACCTTAATTAGAGATGCTAGGAGCCAGTTTTCCCCTCACCTGCCTGCCTATAAGCCGCCCTAACTATTGTGCCAACCTGGTAATCCCACCTGGAAGTGCAGAGTAGTTTCAAGACCTGACAAATTTGGGTGACAGCAAAGATCCAAACATCCACCCAACAAAGGTGAGGCCAGGTATGCATACCTGGAAATACCACAAGTAACTGACTAACCAAGACAATATGTCTCCTTCAAAAACTAGCACCCCTTTGGAATATTTCTTGAGAGAAGCAACTTAGCTGAAACACAAAACAAGGACTTCAAAAAAGCAATTATAAATATGTTCAGAGCTCAAGGAGATTGTAAATAAATGCCTGAATGAAGACTATGAAAACCAAAAGAGTTAAATGACATAATTAACACAAAGATATGAAAATAGGAATTAATAAGGAGATATAATCTTTGATAAAAGCAAAACTGAAATAAAACTTGAAATGAAAAATTTAGGAAGTGCAACACAAAGCTCCAAGGAAAGCTTCACCGACAAACTGAATCAAGAAGAGAAACTGTCAGGTCTCCAAGACAAGACAGAAGAAATGCATCTCCCAGTCAAGTGCTAGAGCTTTAAAGGAAAGGAACATTCAGAGAATCTGGGGTACTATGAAAATTCCAAATCTATGCTTAAGAGGAACAGAAGAAATCCATGTCAAAGGCAAACAAAGTATTTTCAGAAAAATTATAGGAAAAACTTTCCTAGTATAAAGAGATGTCTTTCAGGGTGCAAGGAGCATACAGAACACCAAATGGAGAGGACCAGAAAAGAAACCCCTATGACACAGAATCAAAATGCTGAATGTACAGAACAAAGAAAGGCTATTGAAAACTTCAGGAGAGAAAACCCAAGTCACATTTAAAGGCAAAACCATCAGAATAACACCCAAGATTTTTTAACAGTGACTTTGAAAACCTTTTTGAAGGTTCTGAAAGACCACAGATGTCAGCCCAAGTTACTATACCCAGAAAAATGACCAGTCATAATTAAAGGACAAAGAAAAAAATTGTTCATGAGAAAAAACAAATTTAAAGGGAGGCTGGAAGGATGGCTCCGCAGTTAAGATTTGGGGAATTCATGTCCACAAAGCTAGCTCTACAGAAGATACTGGAAAAAAATTACATTTGAATTATATTTTTATATTGAAGAGATGCCTAAACAAACCAAAGGGAACAAAAGAAAGAATCCCAGAACAATGAATTAAAGGAGGTCTTTAAAAAAATAGCTGCACTGGGAGCACACACCTTTAATCCCAATACTTCAGAGGCAGAGGCAGGTGGATCTAGGTGAGTTTGAGGCCAGCCTAATCTACGGTGTGAGCTCCAGGACAGCCAGGACTAAACAGTGAAACCTTGGCTGAAAAACAAACAAACAAACAAAAAACAAAAAAGAAAGAAGGAAAGAAAGAAAACACCACAACAATACAATAACAGGAATTAATAAACATAGTTAAGTAATAATTATTAATGGTCTGAGTTCCCCAATAAAATACACAGACTAACAGATTTCATTAGAAAACAGGATTCATCTTTTTGCTGCCTCCAAGAAACATGCTTCAGCATCATAGACAGACACCACCTTAGAGTGTAAGTACAGCATAAGGTAATCTAAGCAAATGGAACTGAGAACAAAGCATGCCTAGCTATTCTAATATCTGGGAAACTAGACTTCAACTTAAAATTAGTCAGTAGAGATAGAGAATGGCACTTCATATCATTAAAGGAAAAATCTAGCGAGAGGATTTAATTCTAAACATTTACACACCAAACACAAGGGTATCCAGTTTCATAAAAGAAATACTATTAGGTCTTAGATCACATACTGACCCTAA